GAAAAATTTCAGAAAAAATCTTGGAAAATTTCACCAAAATTATTTTATGGAAAATTAAAATCCATCGCGTTCTCTTATCACCCCCACCGCGTGCTCTGTAGGCCATGATCGGCTACGAGTCGGCGCCCAACAGCATCGACTGGACGTGCGGAGGGTCCCTGATCTCCAAGAACTACGTCCTCACGGCCGCGCACTGCCTCGCCTCCGGGTAAGAGTCGGGCGCGGATGGACACAAACAAAACGCAAAATGATTGACGGTTTGTACTGTTGTACTTTTTATTTTTTGCATGGTAATGAAAACAAAGAGCTCAATCTCACCTTGATGATATTACCATATTAACTCAACGTTTTTCGAAGAAGAAGAAAAACAAACTTTACGAGAGTAATGTCCGCGGGGTCGCAGGGAGACGCCGGCGGGGTGGGTGCTCCTGGGCGAGCTGGACCGGTCCAGGGACGACGACGACGCGCTTCCGCAGCGGCTCCGGGTCGCCGACCGCGTCCCGCACCCGGAGTACAAGCCGCCGGCCAAGTACCACGACGTGGCCCTGCTGCGGCTCGAGCGCAACGCCGTCCTCAGTCCCTACGTCCGCCCGGCCTGCCTCGACACCGTGGACCCGGCGGTGACGGCCCGGGCCAAGGAGGTGCCCGTCGCCACCGGCTGGGGCCACAACGCCTGGGGTGAGAACAACAACAACAAACAACTTTCCGTTTGAATTTAGACACCCTCCGCTCTAGCGTCTTCGACGACACGCCCCGCGCCGGCCAACCCTGGAACTTATGTGCGTAAGCAAGCAGACTCCGTTCAGTTTACAACACGACGACCTCTCTGTGCGCAGGCGGCGACCCGACCGATCACCTGAACAAGGTGAAGCTGCCCCTCGCGGAGGCGAGCGAGTGCCGGCGGCGCTACTCGAACCTCCCCGCCTACCAGCTGCCGCGCGGCATCCAGGCCGAGTCGCAGCTGTGCGCGGGCGGCGTCACGGGCAAGGACACCTGCCAGGGCGACTCCGGCGGGCCCCTGCAGCTGCCCACCAGGTGACGACCCTCGAAAAATTCCCTAAAAAAATTAAAAATTACCAAAGATGAAAGT